GTCCTGAAGGAGGTCCCACATGTGCTGAGCTCTCATTGGCCGCTTTTCCTTCACTCTCTGGTCAAACTGCTCCAGAACCACTTCTATGTGTTTAATCATACACACACATTTTGACGTGGGAGAAAATCAGTTTCTTTAAACGTATAAACCTCTGGGGAAAACACACCTTGAACTGGAGCCGTAAAACAGGTGTTAAAAGCAAACCAAGCCAGGGCCATTGTCGGAATCTCCAATAACAACTTAATTAACAAGCTACAAAACAGCTTAAATCCCAGCAAAACGGTGAGGGGGTGGAGGAAGGCGGAGAACCCCAGCCTGGGTTGTTAGGGTGAGGTGCCAGCCCTGATTGCTGAAGCTAACAGAGAGGCAGCCCCTGTCTGGATAATGGTCCCCCCTACACAAGGCCTGCAACAGCATCAAGCACATCGCTAAGGGCAACGGCAGCCAACTCAAGGCAATACACTGAGTACATGTTAGGCTGTTATTAATATGGCATTAATACATATCAGGCATCTTTAAAAAAGTGACATAAGCAGCACAGCAGGAAAATAGTAAACTCATCAGTCTGCTTCATCAAAGACACCACTTCAGACAGCAGCAGACTTAATGCATTGTGGCATATACAGTATATATCTATATAATTATCTTCTAAACGCTTATCCTGGCCGGGGGTGGGGGGCCTGGAGGGACACCCTGGACGGGACGCCAGATACATACACACCCTTGCACACACAATCACATACCTTGGACAATTTGGAGACAATGTATCTAAATGCATGCCTTTAGACTGCAGGAATGAACCAGAGTAACCAATACAAACCTGCGTGACAAAGGGGGAGCACTTAAACTTTACACACACATGTAGCGTCAAGGTGGGATTGAAACCCACAACCTACTGTGCCACCAGGTGGGGCATACTGGCTGTGTCTGAATTCAGGGGCTGCATCCTTCGAAGGCTGAACAGAAAGAGTGTCAAATAGGACGGTCTGGCCCACGGATAATTTCCTATTTGTGTCACCAGCCATTCCCGCCATTACCCTTGAGTCACAAAGCACCGCTGCTATCGCCTGGCCAGGACACAACCACTTTACCTCAGCTCAATGAATACTGGGACATGTTGGGCTGCCAGGGATCCAGCGGATGGATCCTACGCGACTCGGCAAAAGAGGGGTGCACTTCTGGACCGCATTTGATGAAGCCTTCAAAATGGGACAGCCTTGTCGCTCCGCTGTGACACATTCGTACTTCGAATGCAGCCTGAGAAAGATGCAGCCCTGTTAGCATTAACATGGCAGTAATACGCTGCCAGGTGATCTTGTAAAGGGGTTTAAAGCATAATAAAGAGAGGGGCACTCTGCGCAACATAATCTATTGTTTTTTAGCGTAAACTGGGAGCTGTCTGCACCGAACAGTAAATAAGGGCATTGCAAGAATTACACAGAGTTGGGTCAGCAAAAAAAAATATGAAGAAACAAAGGAGCCAGAGACAGCAGCCTGAAGCGGCTCTTCAACGCGGCATCAACGCTTGCTGCCCATCTACGGGGATAGGGGCGGACTGGGCCTCGCTATCCCTGTTCTGACATGGGAAATACAGCCGTCCGCGATTTATTATTTTTCCTTTGCATCTCATATTGATAACCTGACATAAACACATCAGTGTCCAATATGCAGACACAAACATGCACTCGATTCATGGATTATATCACTACAAGTTAAAAATGAGGAATGGCGAATCACGGCTAATGTGGAAAGACTGCCCTCCAGTGGCCATTAAACAAAAAGCATAAGATTTACCCATTTTGACTGGATATTCCTGAGTACTCTAAACTATTAAATAAATATTGCATTGAAAAATAAGTCTTTCAGCGTTCACATTTTTATAAAGTAAAACATACATTAGTCCAAAGATGCAAACGTCTCTACTAAATCATACGTGCACATAATTGTGGGCAAGTGAGTAGTGATGAAAGTATCCAATATGTCTGAGTATGAAAGTCCTCACTGTTTGCTGATGAACCCACGTGTCCTGGGGCAAATAGCATTAATTAACTAAACAGCAGTAATCATACGCCAAAATAATGGCATAATGTACAGTACTCATATTGAATTCTACTGCTAAAATGAAAAGAGCATTATTCAGAATCTTTAATATTTCCTTTTCAAGATTTAAATTTCCTTTGAAGAGGGTATAAGAATTTAAAGTAAACTGCAATATTTTGTAGGCCAGTGTTTCCCAACCCGGTCCTTAGGTAGCACCAGACAGTCCATGTTTTTGCTCCCTCCCAGACAGTCCATGTTTTTGCTCCCTCCCAGACAGTCCATGTTTTTGCTCCCTCCCAGACAGTCCATGTTTTTGCTCCCTCCCAGACAGTCCACATTTTTGTAAGGAGCTGGGAGGGAGCAAAAACATGGACTGTCCGGGGTTCCCAAGGACTGGTTTGAGAAACACTGTTATAGGCTACTTGCTATAAATGAATGTTGATCATATAAAGGACCATCCCTCAAAAGTGATGGAATAATGGCATGAAAGAAAAGCTGGGAAGAAGGAAACGAGAGACGAGGTTGAGGGAGTGGGGGGCTGACCAGGACTTGGGCTCCCCGAAGTGCAGGTAGTTAATGCTGTAGAGGTCCATGTCCTCCGTGTGCCAGGCGAAGGTGGTCTTCCACATGCCGAAGTAGAGGTAGGGCGTGTTGACGCCCTCGATCACGATCCCGCACTCCTGCTCCACCATGTCCAGCAGGGTGTTCAGGTGGCCGATGTTCCACTCTGAGATGTTCTGCACATAGATGACACCAGAGAAGCATTCCTAACTATTCCATACCAAAATACTCTATATTAATATCTAACTAATTCATTCTAATTAAACCCAGATACTACTAGGTAAATTCTGTCTGAGAAACATCTGTATTGCTGATTCCCATACAAAACATAATGGCAAAATTATTTATTCTTAAACAATTCCTTGTAAATAGGGACTTTTTAAACAATTCTTTTATCTGTCATAGTCTTCATGAATAAAAAAATCTTTTATAAATCATGATTAAGGGGGTAACTAATCTCTTTCCTAGACCCTTTAGGCATGTCAGCTCTTTGAATAGAAAGTGAGCAAACAATTAGTCTTCTAAAAATGCAGTTAGAACCATACAATCAGAAGCCAAAGGGCCCAAGGTAATGAAATGGAAAACTCGCTGCAAACATTTAGCACTTATTATTATCAGATCAAATGCAATGAAATGACAATGAGAAGGACATATAACATAAGCCAAAGCAGGGAGAATAAAAGTGAGACAAAGAAAAGTTTTTACTTTTTATTTTTATAAAATGCATGAGAAGAGTAGGTCACTGTGACCCTGTGCAAAACAAAAGGCTATGGAGGAAGGAAGGAAGGAAGGAAGGACGGACAAATGGAAGGAAGGAAAGACGGATGGAAGGAAGGAAGGACGGATGGAAGGAAGGACGGACGGATGGAAGGAAGGAAGGACGGACAAATGGAAGGAAGGAAGGACGGATGGAAGGAAGGACGGACGGATGGAAGGAAGGACGGACGGATGGAAGGAAGGACGGACGGATGGAAGGAAGGACGGATGGAAGGAAGGACGGATGGAAAGAAAGAAGGATGGACGGAAGGAAGGAAGGACAGACAAGTTCAATTAGAAGAAATGGGCTTTGCAGAAGAGACCATAAGGGCTTTATAGCGAAACATCAAGTCCTGTCATGCCGAGATCTTCTCAGAGCTCATTTCAGCACTTTCTTCATCCACATTGAAAAGCACATTAGCCCAGTGCTGGAGCTCCATCAAGCAAGATGAGGCGTCGACCTTGGACTCACCTCGTCATACAGGGAGCCACTGATGTCAGCGCCGTAAATGGGTGACACGAATGTCAGGTTCTTCCAGTACTTCCGCTCCAGGTCATCGAAGTCTTTATGACAAGGGGTGCAGTACCTTTCACCAATGGAAAGAGGAGGCAAAGACTGCGTTACAGAGCTGGGATTCTGCTTGGCTCAAAAAGCAAAGTAGATTTTTATTCTTTTCAATATAATTGTAATCTGTGTTAGGTCAACTGCACAGGGGTCTTCAGGAAACTCAGCACACATGTTTTGACTGTTTTTCTGCTGGCAAATAGCTGGTCATGCCACTAGCTAAACCAAGAGTCTTCATTCACAATATATAACAAATACACAAATAATTAAAAGTATGCAAATAATAAAGCAGGCCTCGAGCGTAAAACAAACGAACAATCTATGGTGTACATCTCCTTTCCGTTTTTACTGATTGCAGCATTTGTTCGACCGTGCCACTGGAGAAGCTGGAGGCAGACTGCCAGACAGACAGGCATTCAGGTCTGCTACCCAGCAGCCCGTGACGGCAGTGAGGCTCCGCCTTCATGGTGACCGGTGCTCCACCAATGCTCCACTACAGATTTGTGAAAACTGACTGTATGGAGCAGCCACTTCTGCCTTTAAAAACCTGTCTGCCATAAGCCCACAGGTTCATCCCCGCGACATTATAACCCGCACGTAAGGACAGCAGAGGCAGAGATCAGCAGCATCTTATTATTAATAAAGGTTCGTTTTTTTAATCGGTTCATTAAACCAGTATTTCATATATTGATAATTTTACATAAATCGGACTAATAACAAAATACTCATTAATAATAGTTATATTATTCAACATACATGTACCAGATTTTTTAAACCAGCCCATCTTAAAATCTTAATTACTAACCAAATCGATGAACAAAAACAACCAGTGTTTGAGCCAGACCCTAGACAACTTGGGACAGTGTAATTAAACCATAATATTAAAAGCGAGAGCCCCACATCTACACACACACACCATCACCAAAAATGAAGACTAAACAGCCCCTGAATGTGGTATCCTGATACTCCCAGGTTTTTTCCAGCTAAATGATTACATTGAATACATATATACATATAGTATAGTAAAATACTACACTGAGACAGTGTAACAAACGAGAGCATGAGCTTGGTCTAAAATGCATAGTAAAATACTACACTGAGACAGTGTAACAAACGAGAGCATGAGCTTGGTCTAAAATGCATAGTAAAATGCTACACTGAGACAGTGTAACAAACGAGAGCATGAGCTTGGTCTAAAATGCATAGTAAAATGCTACACTGAGACAGTGTAACGAGAGCATTCCTTTGCTCATTGGGCACACACTTCTTGCTGTTGGCCAGTTTGCGGTACTCGCCCACGGTCATCGACTTCTTCTGGATGTTGTACTGCGTGAAGAGGCCCGACTGGCCTGTCACCACCTGCATGATGGGAGCTGGGATCACCATCTCCTCCACCGTTTCATAGGACTGTCGTGGCTTCCACTCCTTTGGTGGGATCACCTACAGGGATTCAGAAACTTTCTCTACTGCTTTTGCTATTTGACTTGAATTAATCAATTCCTGCATATTACGAGTCTGATGTGAACACCAGTTGAATCTATTACATATATGTGTGTGCATGCAAGTGCTTGTCCCATATTTTTTTCATATATTTGATCAATCACGGGTCTATTTCCCCGTGTGTCCTGGAAACGAGATATTCACTTCTAATGTAACGGGAAACACACCAGTAAAACAGTAAAGGAAAATCACAAAAATAAACATCACCACATGCATGGGTCGATGTCAGGAGAGTTACATCCATACCGTTAATGTTATTTATCGAACACCTACCTTGGCCAAGCCAGCACGATGGGCTCCTTGGGTTTCAATGTAGGCGATGTACTTGACAAAGTCGCGGAACTCCTCCATGGTGGGCCGAAAGGTCATGATCTTGCAGCTGGCATTGGGGGCTTGGCTGGGGCTTTCTAGCGACATGGTGCCAGGTGGTGCTGGGAAGGCAAAAAAAAAAATAACATTCATGGAATGCTATTAAAACAAGTCTCCAGAGCGATGCGTCTACAGTAGACCAGGAGTGCCCGGCCATAAAGTGGGTATTGGATTCCCTGAGGTATTACCTCTTGGGAAGACACTTCCTCTTGGAGACTGACCATCGAGCACTGCAATGGCTGGACAGGATGCAGGACACGAATGCTCGAATAACCCGGTGGTTCAGCCAAATAACTTTATTGTGACCGACAGGCCTAGAGCTACCAACAGAGTGGTTGACTTCTTGTCCCATATCCCTGAGGACACGATGGGGAAGTGATTCCCCACTCAAGGTACTGTGGGGTAAAAGATTAATCTTTGAACAGTGGCCACTGTCTCCAGAATGAGGGGGGTAATGTAATGAGGTCCTGCCTGTTCCATGCAACCAAGTGATGTAAGGACATGGGTAGGTACTTGTTTTTCGCTCAAACTCTCTGCAATGTGCACAAAAAACCCGAGTATTGGTGTCATATTTCAGGTGGTCAATTGGAATATAGTAATTTGTGATAGATGAAGTTTTTTTTTTAAAGGTTTTAGGACTTACCGTCCTCTGGCGAGCAGGAGGGCAGGGTCACCAGTTAAAGGACCCGAGGCCAGGTGGCTACTGGGTAATGTAGTTTTTGCTGCCCTCAGTAGTAATGGAATTTTCCCAGTGATAATCTGACAGAGGGGGGAAGTTTTGAATTTGCATTAAGATATTTATTATTTAGGGGACCATTTATTGCGTATTTATTCTGGTTGTCATTTATAAAAATGTAACTGATCACTTTATGAATGCATTTCTTGTGGCAAAGTTAATGTTTTAAAAGCTTATTTTTATTTTATTATTAAGTTAGCATATTGACTATTATGATGATGTCATTTTTTTTTTTTACTTATTTTTAGTGTGCAAATGAGTGTCTGTTTTGTTATTTAGACACGTCGACAGACTAGACCTTATAATTGGCTTATAATCCATTATAATTATAATCCATTTTCTGTAAGCGCTTATCATATTCAGGGTCGTGGGGGTCCAGAACCCATCCTGGAGGCTACAGGCTAAGGCTAAGGCAGGGAACAACCCAAGACAGGGCGCCAAGCCATCGAAGGGCTGGGTTACAATTGTTACTAATTGTGTTTGAGGTTTTAATAATAAACAATTTGAGAACGAATTCTGTTTCCTCGCCCCACTGAAACTGCACCTAGTTGCGAACTCAAGCAGATACGCATCTAGGCGTTTGTTTCCTTTAAAGAATCTAAAGTTTGCTCAAACTTTGAATTTAAACTGAGGCAGTGCTGAAAAAGTTTCTGTACACGTTTGCTCATTCATGATAGCATTAGGCATGTAACAATTCACCCAATTCAAGAAAATTACCAAAAATGCAACATTCATTTTTGCATCCTTTATCAATTTCTATATTCCTTTTGTTAAATAAAAAAAAAATGTATATTTGTTTCATTTTCTTAATAGCAGCAATAATTATTTACAAACATTTGTAAATGTTTGTATAAAATATAATAATATAATAAACTAAAAATTTTACTAAAAACGAAAAAGTTAAACACAAATTTGCCTTTTCTTAATAACCGTTTGCGAACATTTGTGAAGGCTGTAGTCAGCCTTAAACATAAAACAGTAATTTGCTCTGTGCTCACCATTCCGTAGTATTACTTCTGTTAAGTTGCATTAGTTGGTTGCTGGGAGGGGGCTGACCAAGTTATTGCACCATCTGCTGTCTAAACTCCGCAATTACAGCAACGGAAAGCCAAGAAATTCCGCAGCCTAATAATAATTTGAGCTACACTACAGGGTTGCCAACTCTCACACATCTGGCGTGCCACTCATGTTTTCAGACTCGCACACTTAGGCAAATATAGCAAATATATATTATTCCATTATAAACCGAAAATTGGCTACTTCAAAAGCTTTGGGGCAGTTTGCAAACCCTATAGACTACTTACATGGTAATAAAACCGTTACATACATAGAAATGTGTGTGCATGTCTGTGCAGATATGTTTTGAGTCTCACTACAACCAGCTGACCATTTCTGGGCCCCCTGACAAAATGTCACCATTCCCCCCCCCCCACCCCACCCCACCGGTGAAAAAACACAAACTTTCATTTTTTGTGATATGGGACATTTGTGTAATATACTAATTTCCAACCAACAAGTGCAATTTTCCATGTACTTCTGCGTGTTGAAGGGCCCCCGAGAAGCGACGGGTCCCCTGAGAGGTGACGGGTCCCCAAGAAGCGACGGGTCCCCGGAGGGGTGACGGGTCCCCTGAGTGCACCAAGGTATCGATGCCCTACACTGTCCCTAAAAAAAAAACAGCCACTGCCATCATACACCATGATCTTTTTTACGTTTGATCAAAGCCAACTCACCCATATTTACTTTATTAAATAATATTTATTAATTTATTCATGCAGCAGCAAAAAAAAATAATGAAACCAACTTAAGTACTTAATTACTTGCTAGACCCTATGAGCAAAAACATTAGGTCATTCGCAGAAACAAAATGTGCTTTGTTTTATGGGCATTCCTACCACGGTTATCACAAGAAATAATGGAACGATATCAAATTACAATGGAATGCAAGGTATCAAATATTACTCTTACAATTTATCCACTGTTTTGTCATATATGCTGCTTACCATAGCAAAAGAGGAAACATTTAAATGACAAAACAAACACTGTAGCAGGTAATGATAAAGTAGGGGGGGTTAACTTTAAAGAACTGTTCATTTCACACACATTCAATCCACAAGTCAGTGTGGGCATTTGGGAAAATTACAGATGAGGAATAGATCTCCCAGTGCTCAAGTCTCCACCAAATCAATGCTCAGCCTTTCTGACTGTATTAAAAATTAAGCAACATATCTCATACATGCCAACTGCAGTCTTCAGACATTCAGTTCTCGATACATAGTGGGCACAGTTCAATTTATCGTGAAAAAAACAGTTTAAATGAGGAAAAATATATATAATTTATTATTATTTCGAACCCTATTTACCTCACCTGGCTTTTCATGCTAAGGGAACATGGTCGCATTGCATTGAGAATTCTTTCATGCAGTCTGTCACACAATAATGTTCACTCATCCATTTAGCAGTGAAATTAACCTATTAAGATTTTGCCATTTTCTGGAAATTACTGCATGTCTTGCAGATACCTGAAGATCCTTGCATAGTATAATCCAAACCAAAGACTGTTCATGCAGGAAACAAGACTGCATGCAAGGGCAGCCTGAAGTCGTGTAAACTGTTTAGCCAAAATTAAATCATGTCAATTCTCGTATAATAGTAAATTGAAAAAACTCTCCATCTATTTTCTAAAAGCACTTATCCAAAGCAGTGCTGCGGTGACCAGGGAGCCGAAACCCATGGTAGCAGGGAGAGAAGCCCCGCCAGCCCCGGAGAGAGAGTGAAAGCGTGAGCTGCAGCAAGTTCTACTTATAACCCATAGCCCTAGAGCTGCGAGGCCTCAAAGTTTCCCACTGAAATACCTGCCTGAAATTCTTTTGTCTGAAATTGTACATAAGGCATTGACTGACTATTCATCAGCTGAACCAGCACTATGATACCGGATTCTGTTCATTTCATTAGCAAAATACCTTTCCATATATCAGCCTCTGATTTAAGTCCAGTTATCCCTTTGTTTAACAGATAGATAGGTAGGGGTGGTGGTTTCCTCTGGTGAAACTTGCCAAATTTGATGCAATGATCAATCTGCAGGCCAAATAATAATTATTTAATTTTTTTTTTAAAGGGTGTTGATTATTTTCTATAACTGCACACACAATGCCAAACAGGCACTATGTAGTCAACACAGAAGTAAATCAATGTGCGATTGTAGTCTTTAATTCTAACGCAGTGTTTCCACTGGTAACAATTCCCCGTAGTTGCCCACAAGTGTTGGGCAATCAGGCCCAGTAGCTACAAATCTAGACCGAGATTTTGTTTCTACCAACCAGGTGAGTACTCTGTGACTCTTTATGCTTAACAGGTTGGTGGCCCACTACGGCAAAACGAACATCTATCCAACTAATTAATCAGGGGGGGCCTGATTCCCACCCCCACCTGCTTTACAGAATTCAGTTGGTTAACAGCACAATAAACAAACAAGGTAGGCAAACAGAGCAGGCATCACTTATATTTTATATTATATATATTTTACCATTATGATGTTGTGTCAGAATGGGAAAACAGTCGACTTAAACCATTAATCCCACCCCTGGCAACCTAGGAACATTAACAGGAACTTTCTGACACCCCCAACATCCCCTCCCCCCTAGTCACAGTGGCACCATGCCAAACCACTTCATCCACAGGGAACACTGTAACGGTACTGAAAATTTCAGATGCAGAACACAGTGTAAAATTAATGGGAACTACAAAAACAAAGCAATTGCTACAGACTAATTAGACAACAGCAGTGCTTCAGACTGAGGACCTAGACTGAGGACTTTAACAGTAAAATGATTTACCACTGTAATGCACTTGTAGCCCAGTCATACTTTACAGTCATGTGTAACCTGCCTAAGTAACGTGGCACACAAGTCTAGTTTTAATAACTGGAAAACAGTTTACACAGCTGAATACCAAGAGGTAAATAAAGCTAAATTAATAAAAATAATGGCTGTAAATATTTACATTTCTTTGCCCCAATAGACGTATGTTTAAAATGCACAATTTATAGCTTCGAGTGCATCAACTGCATACTTGGCTTACATGTTTGTGGCTAAAAACTGGTCTTTAGGCTTAGTAATGAACAACTTCAAACTAATAACTGACTTATGAGCGTAAAGGACAATTTCTGAATTGCTGCAAATAGGGTGGTTCTTTGTCTCCACAGCAGTGGATTTAAAAAACATAAAATACATGGTCTGTCAGGCATTAACCCTTAATTAACCTTTAATTAACCCTTACATAAACATGTCACAGACTCTGGTCTGCTAACATCCAATATGACTTAAGTCTAAATATCAGCCAGACTGACACATCAGACCGATACCGATATCTGGATTCTTAACGAATATCGCCTGAAATCAATGTTAACCGATATATCGTGCATCTCTAGTTCTACGGCCTTTCAGTAGTCAGATCAATGGAGTCAGCAGACTCAAAATGAGGCAATACCTTCAGCAGTAGAAAAAGTAACCAATGCAAATGCATTACACAGTAGGAAGGACAAATAACTACCAAGAAGACTGGGCTGCATAGCTTCTATATGTTTCTATGATGATCTATATGTGAATCTAAGCTGGAAAGTGGTGAATGATTGGATTTCACTTCAGGGTTGCCAAGTTCTTACGGTGAGGTTCCTACTTAATTCACTTTTCTGAGGAGACTAAAACTACCACAAAACTTGATGATCAGTGAGTTTGGAAAATGGACAGATGAAGCACACAGGACATCCAGAGTATTCCACTGACATGAGGCCTTTATTGGACAGGTGTTGATATCCCCAATTATGTTTACAATCAGCAACTCAGCAGCAACTTCATTTTCATTTTGAAATTAACATCTTACTATACAGTTTCCTGGGTTGTGACATGTTCATTGACTAATTACCCATATTCAATATGAATAACTACAGGTCGCTACACAAACCAAAGGCTAAATGCAGCTGATTATACTCATGGATAATTACATTTACACTGTTTCACCCCATAACCACAGCTAACAAATATTAAGACACTAAGGCTTTTCCAGACCTTGTTACTTTCTGGTATCCATCAAAAATGTGCACAACCATATATTTAATTACAAACATCCCAAAGCACAGAAAAACTCATTCAAACATTAATGCAGTATGAACCTTACAACAGTTCATCCCACTGAGACATTTTTAAAAATCCTGAGTCTCATGTCTATTTCATTACTACTATTAAATCAACATTGTATGATGTACCTGGAAATGTTAATCAAATCTTTGAACATTTCCGTTAGGCGAAACAACATGATATATGCTGTAGATTCATTCAGCGGCCATAAGACCCAAAGCTCCAACTTCGGGAGTCTGCAAAACCTCCGCGCAGTACTATATAGGCTGACATACTCAACTACAGCTGCAAGTACATCAGAACTACATAAAACCCCCACAATAAACAGCTAATCATGTCAAAAACAGCCGCTTCACCCACGGGCCACGCAGCCGTACGACTCGAAGCCCCTAACTAGCCAGCTATTTTTTATCACTTAAATATTTAACGACGCGTTTTGAACTGACAGACTAATTCATGTCAGTAATGCAGCCAGCACTCGGCTACTAGCTTTCTAGCTAAACTGCTTTCACTACAAACCATCCTCAAATAAATTAAACTGCAGCCAAGCGCATGCATCGTATTGAAGAACTCATAAGTAAATGCAAGAGATGAGACATTCCGGTTTTAAACTGACAACACTGCACTAGTCGTCCTCCGACGTCCCTGATTCCTACCTTAAAAAGTCAACAAAACCGCGAATACACAACGATTTTCCGCATGAACTACTGTCACATCTACTAGTATTTAAAGTATAGCAAGCAGTTAATTAATGTTTTACCTCCTGCTTCGAGCTTTGCTCCGTTATTTAAGTATCTTATTAGCTTAGACTCGCTCTTAAAATCCACTCGATCGATTATTTGTGAACATCCTGCACACAGGAAATATCGGCCTCATGCCGTCTCAAACCAGCTTGGCTGCCATTGGTTATGGCCGCAATCATAGGAAGTCACTGTGAGCCAGTTCCTTGAAAGTTCATTGGTTATTTTCTTTGACGGACGGCCTCATCCACCTACGGTGTTATTAGCATTTATGTGTAATGTGACGACATTACGACACTATGGGGTGGACTATCTATCTATCTATCTATCTAAGTTTAAGTGTGAAGTTGTGTGGAACTTACGTAAATTATAATGTAAATGACTCCTATCACAATAGTAACTTTTTAAGGAAATATTACTTCCAGCTAATGTAATGGTATTTAGTAAGTAATACTGTATATGGATGTGGTAATTGAATATCGAGTGCATTTGGGTTACCTTGCCATAAAAGGTAGTTATCTGAACATCAGACACGATGACCTTCATCATGACCTTCACGATGACCACACATACGTCTAGGGGTAATTTGGGGGCGGCAAAAAACTAGATGTAATGTCTGTAGGTAGGAATACGTGTGTGGAGTTTGCCTGTTCTCCCTGTGATATGCAGGCACGCTAACTGGGGTCTCTAAATAGATAGTCAGTGTATGTGCCCTAGAATGAACTGGCATTACATCCAGAGTGTGTCCCAGCCTTGAACCATGTATTCTCCTGAACAGGACATAGAAGAAAGAAGGAAGATAAAAGTAAACCTTAAAAAGTATGCTAAAGAAAATTCTTAATCAAAGGTTTGTAAATGGCCTGAAGTTTCCCAAGTGATACAGCACTTGAATTGTCTGAATGAAATTCAAATCAAGGATGGAGCATTTGATGGGATAGCAAATTGACATTGCAGGGAAAAAAGATGTAACATAGTGAAAATGAATTAAGTAGCATTTTACACCACCCCTTCTTGTCAGTGTATAGCTTAATGCTGACAATTAATTTTCCGGGGAAGTTGCTACAGGAAGGTCAATTTATCGCTAAAAGTTGCTAAATGACGTTGTGATGTCATCGCATGATGATGTCATTTTGCCAATACTCAGTGACATCGCTCAAATTGATTGGCCATCTCCATGAAACATATGATTGGAAATTTGTTAGTTTAGATTTTTTTTATTTGTAAAAGTAATATAAACACAACACATTTTTATAATATTTTTATACACAGCACATTGAATTATTGAACAATTGCATTTTACACATTATTGAACAATTATATTTAATTTATTATCTTATTAACTAGTAAAACTACACATTCTGAACAATTATAGTTTTAATCATTGTATTGGTAGATAGTAAACATGCTCCCTAACTGATAACAATAACTGATAACATATACGTTATCTTATTGAACAATTGCAACTAGCAACTTAACTTGACCATGATGTGTATGCTAGGCACGTCTCCCTCCAGGCTGGTGTGCTGCTTGGTTACCTAGTTGTTCAATGGTTTTCTCCAGATAATGGCACTATTCTCGTTCACACTGCTGTGCACAGCTAGTTAGCAGTCCTTCATAGTGACAAGTATAATAACCAGCCAAACAGACCGTGTGTAGTGACTGAGTGTGTGGTTTTTGTGTCATTTAGAGGGAACATGTATCATTTTAGCATTTGAGTAAAAAGCTGCTAAATAAATTTTAAAAGTAGCTACATTTGTTGCTTTTAGCTTTGTGGGGGAAAAATGCTGAAAAGGAGCTATATCTAGCAACAAAATGACTAAGTTGACAACACTGGTTTAGCTACTATATTAAAATGCATTTATCAGCTGTGACACCGATTAACCAAAGTCAGTACCTTTGGATTGTGGTAGGAAAGTCATGTGACACAGAGAGAACATGCAGACTCCGCCCACACGCAGCAGGGGTGGGATTCAGACACCTAACCTAGAAGTAGGAGGCCACAAGTCAGCTACTCAGTCTCCTAAATTTTAAATTCACTGCAGTTTTCCAGTTTTCATGTAATTCAAAGGTGAAAAGTGAAGTATATTAATGATCTTTTTTATTCATGCCTAAGGCCAGATCTCATAACACCAAACAGCATTTGACGACATCCTTCTTTCATGATCACGTATAAGTACAGCTGTCAGTGTACCATTATTTTGATGGAGTTGAAGGAAGAATACTGAGGTGGTGTGCAAAGTCTATTATTATGGTCTATTTATTATTGTTTGTGTGGATACTGCTGACTGCACAACAAATTGCCCCTTGGGAACAATAAGGATATCATTGATCCTTTGGCTGATTACTTTCAAAGAGATTAAGTTTTATGGGCATGGTATAATTATACTCAATCCATATCTGAGACGATACACATTAATCAATTTCCTCCAGAAGTTACAGATGATAACAGAACAAAAAGAACTGTCTGCATTATTTTTGTACTCTGGTACATTTTTGTGTATTCATACGACATAAACTAACGCCAGATTTAAAACCAGTCAATACAAGTAACTCATTACAGAATGACACCAATCTGTCTTCTCTCTTACTGCCACCTATGGTGAATTGCATGCGCATATCTGACTCACAAAGGAAACTATACTCTCCCCATCATCTAGGTGTACAAACTTCAGCAAGTTTTTTAATCGAAAGCAACAGTAATTCGCGTAGTTTCCATGTCCAAAATAAAACAGCACTAAAATGGCAAACATACAGATATAGCATATAGTAATTATCGGGTACAAGCTCCGTTGAATGATTTTCCTTGAGCCACAGAAATTTGCAACGTATATTCACGTCATTTGACGAGTTTAAGGAATTTCCGGGTGTGGAGTCACCGCGTTATACGTGTTTGACAGCTTGGGCATTGATATCTTCGTCAATGGTGGATTCTCTGCACAATTATTGGTAGGTTTTGAACAAGCAAAATATATCGATTAAATGTTAGACACTTTTTTCTTGCCATTATAATATTTTGTCATATTAATAAGCGTCTGTAGTCTGTCTGTAAACTCTAAACACACAGTATGGCAAATCCATCCGTACTGTACTCTTTCAACTTGTTGCTATATAATAATTAACACTTTAGACAGTTTGTAATTGTTTCATTTTAAATTTAAGTTTCAATTTAAGTTAATTGTTTCAAATTAGACGTGTTAGGCATGCACAATTTTTTTTATCATACAAGCTCATACGAAATTTAAAAGTAATTATATAATTTCATTTTTAAAAATCCAATGGAAGTTAGAATAGCTCGTTTATACGAAGTTGTGGCTAAACTAAGGGATTTGATGACAAATATCACTGCATTCACCTATTCAGTATTTTAAGGAACTGATAAAAAAAAAATATATATATATATATATTTTAAAAACTAATGCAGATTCCCCTGTGAACTGGACTCTATTTGCTTCATGGAAGCAGAAACTCAAAGTGGTTTTGCCGTAGCTGATGTTTGTGTGAAGCAGCTCAGTGGGCAACCATAACCCCCCAGTACAGGGGTGCAAATCCTGCCCCCATTCTGTATGTGGAGGTTATATGTTTACCTTGTGTTATGCAAGTTACCTCCCACGGTCCAATGACATACTAATTAGTGTCTCAAGCTTGTGTGTGCTGCAGCATGCAATCTGTGATTGCAATAAAAAAAAAAATAATACCAAAAGTCTTGAATTTTGTTTGGTTGCTTACGGTTAAGGTTAGCGCTGTGTAAGATTAAGGTCGTCATTGTTGCGATTAGGGTTTTTCCCACAGATATGAATGGAGAGTCACTACAATGATAGGAATACAAATGTGTGTGTTTCCTGCAGTGGTCTGGCAACCCATTCCTTATGCCCTTTACTGCCTGACCAAGATGAGCTCATGGCAGTTTTACTTAGATAAAAAATATTCTGAGGGCAGAAGGAAGAATGATTGGTTCAGAGAGATAACTAATCAGACAGTAGAGGAGGTGGATCTAAGCAACTAGAGAAGGTGAGAACAATCAATTAGATCATTTTACCTTCTGCCCTCAGAACATTTCTGTGTAAATGGATGGATGGATGACATTTGTACATGCAGTATATATAGTTTTAACTCATTTGCTTCTTCTGTTCATTTAGCTGTCCTTCTGAACGTTGATGGTGAAGATAAAATCATGACTTCTGGAATAAAGATCATCTGACATTAAAACCATTCGGGGTGTGAAGTCATTAACACATTGTCCATGCCTACCTGACCTACCGGAGAAGCAAAATGGCTGAGAGGGGAGAACGGAGTGACACGGTGAGGGATGCAGAGAAGAGGACAGAAAGTATCACTGGGACAAGTTTGAAAGATGCCTTTAAGGTTCTTTCTGCCGCCTCACAAGAGAAATTACAGAGTCTCACTTTAAAAAGGAGCAGCAGGGAGGCTGAGATACTGGTGCAGGCAATGTCTCTGATTACGCTGAGGAAGGGACAAGACGCACTGGATAAACTCGCAGCCCTGGGCGGCAGTGGCGTGGCAAAATACCTGGCTGAACAGGTAACGGCATGTCGGGGTCAACTGGAACACTTCAGAATAGACGAGCAGGCCAAGCTGGAGGCTCGCACCGACACTTTAGCCGAGCTGGCTAGGATTTTTCAGGTTCTAGCAGAGGGGAGACTGTGTAGCGAATCGCTGAGAGACAGAGCCTACGGAGTTGCTCTCGGGGCGTACAGAAGTATGAACTCAAATGTCGAAGGGAGGGAGAACAGGCAGCTGGAGCAACTGATGGAAGAGGCCACCATGATTTGTGGGCCTGAATTCATTACTCAGGAAGATGGTCAGTTTTCATGGGGTAAAACACTACAATCTTGCTCACCCAAAACATCTACTCATAGGGGACAGCACAAAAAGACCTCAGCCATACCTATACAAGGTAGCCAGTGTGGTCCATTAGTACCAACAGTTGAGCACAGTTCCCCAACCTCCCTGCGAAGCAGTTCTTCTAACGAGACGTCTTTCCCCAGTCACCTAGAGGTCAGTGCATCCCCCACTGCTGTATTTGATTCAAACAGAATGAGCCGCGCCATGCAGGACTTGACGTTGACACCATCACATATGGAGGATGTTTCCCCTAATCAATCACTGCCTCTTTTTGAAGTAGTGTCACAGAATAATCCTGCTGACGAATGCATAAAGAGAACAGCAATACTTCATTCCCCATATAATAAGAAAGTGTGTGATTTTGTGGAAGTAACAGAGAAATCTGAAAACAATGGCACTATGACATCCAGGATTACAAATGCAAAATCTAAGTTTAATGGGGGAAGTCCTTCAAAGAAACCTACTGAAGTCCTATTGTCTGTCACAACTGCCCTCACTGAGAACAATAAACCCGGATCTGCAACTCCAGGAAATGTCACTAACATTTCAAGGACCACGTCACCCCCACTAAACAGCAAAGATCCAGAAGAACAGAAAGAGGATGAGGTAGAGGACGAAGTCCAGTTTTTCTCTTTTGTGATCTTGCATGCCCCAGAGGACATGGAAACGGCTGAGAGGCTGCAGGAAAAACTGAAAAGTTTAGGCATTGGTGAGGGATCCACCTTTAGCCAGGACTTTTTAGTTCCTGGGAAAACTAAGTTGAGATGTATTGAGGATGCCATTGATAACTCAGCTTTTTCCATCCTTCTACTTTCACGCAACTTCAACAACCAGCTGCAGGAGATCCAGACTAATGCTGCTCTCATGAATTCCATTGAGAATGTGCACAAATACAACTCTGTCATTCCCCTCTTTCCTAGCAAGAATCGTCTACCTACGGAGGACATGCCCAAGTGCCTGAAGATATTTGTAGCACTAGAAGAGAGTAGCCGGTCCTTTGATAGGATGGCGAGGATGGCGATGGCACCAGAAAGGATCAAGAAGCAGAAGGAACTATGGCGCCAAGACCAGTATATTAGATTACAGCAAAAAAGGAAGCTGAGACTGAAGGAAGAGATTAAAAAAAGCAAAGTTCTGTCAAATCAAGAAATGGAAATCTCTCAGCTAGAGAAGGAGCAGAGGCAGCTGTACATGAAAATGCGACAGCAGAATCAAACACTGCAATATTATGATACACCTGGGCCTATTTCGAAACCACCACAGCACTTAATCGATATGGACAGGCAGCCCAGTATCCTTATTAGTAATGCAAAGTATATCATGATTGGGGATAACTCCCAGATGACTGTAGACGTGAGTTCTGATACAGACGATAATGTGCCAGGGGACATGGAGGAATGACATAACTAAAGGATTTTTCAAAGTCACACTACCGAGAATTAAGATAAGAACAAGACCATTAAAAACAAACTGCTGTATATGTCACTAAACCAGGCGTTATGAGGAAACCTTATACACGTTTTTGTTAATGATGAACAAGTGCCAAAAAGCAGGTGTTGACGTTATTCTATTCCCGTGTAAGTTCTCTAACAGAAGGGAAGGTGCGTGGAATCTCTCTTTAGGGTTGCTATGGATGTAATGCCACTTTCATGAAATGTCACTGATGGCTGCCTCATTACTGTATTTTTTAGAATATATGCTTTGTTAATGTATCTCAACCAACTGTCTTAAAATACCACACATTGAATTTTTAATCTGTATTTACCTATTAGGATTCTCTGGGCAGTGGTGGCTTAATGGTTTAAATCCCTGACCAGCAAGGCACCACTGAGGTACCCTGAGCAAGGTATCCCCCCCCCCCAAGCACTGCTCCCAGGTGCTGAATTAGCTCCCGCCTGCTATGTCATATATGGGTTAAATGCAGAGGACACATTTTGCTGTGGTGTGTCAACATTGACAATCGATCACTAAAATCTGTCATATATTTTGTGATCATTTATACCAATGCATTGGCAGGTTTTGTCTGATCTGTCAATAATACAATAATATACAGATGATCACAGTATAAAAAGACGGAGAAATGCATGATGATGAATCTGAAAATGTGACAGTGAAAATGAATTTGAACTTGTACAATACAATGTCATGTTTTTTTTATGAATTCAAGATCATTTAGGAAATGTGACATTTTAAAGAGCACACTAACTCATTTAATATCTGCAGGAAATAAAGCATAACTTTGCATGACATTACTGTGTAGAAATTCCAAAAAGCATTTATTCTACATTTACTATATTAGTTCAGGTGTGTTGGGAGCTGGAGGGAATGAAAATGAGGACTGTCTGCAGGTCCCCGAGGACTGGGTGAGAAATACTTTTCTATGGTGTTCATGCAGGATTACAGGGCAGAGGAGTATCTGTTTATATGACCCCATAAATAAAGAATTCGCCAAACACATTGTGATTTATCTTAGGATTTCAGCCATTTTAAAAAGCACTCTTAAAAACACTCGAGTTAAAAGGGGTTTTTTCATTTTGTCAGTTTCACCATTTACCAATTTCACCTCTCAGCCATTTGCATAACTTGACATGCAAAGAGCAAGAACGCATCCCCTTACATCATGTTCCAGAGACGCAGTAAAACATCCCCCATCAAGGGTTCCAGTAGCAAGGGGGTGCACCAGTACAAACCTGGCCTCACCAGCACAGGGTTTTCAACATTCCACCAGTACATAAACTGTCGTCACAATCTGGGGTACGTTTCCCATAAGCTCTCCAACTATGCTTTTGGGAAACATACCCCTGAACAGGAAGCTTACTAGAAAGTGTTTGGACACAATGGGTGACGCTTAATATGCATATTTGATCATATTTGTGTTCTAGTTTAACCATTTTGCAACATCTTGCATTTCTGAAGACATAAGTACAGAAGTGCAGGGGATGGTTAGAGAAAAGAAAAAAAAACCCTGGATGCTGGTCTTGCCCCGCCCCAAATATTAAAGATGCATCGGTTGCATCCTCGCCAAACAAGAACAATCCCATGATTCATTGTGCCCGAGGTTCGTTCTTGGCAGGAAAGTTAGTAGGACCGTAGTAGGACTACGAGTATGACTTTTGCAATCTTGGTATTGAGAAACATAATAACCACCCACAGACCCTGCGGAAACTTCTGTATTAATTTCACTTTTCCGCTTCTAACCGCAGTTAAAACCCTGGGTTTAATATCCATTTTCGTAACCATAGGAAATTGCACAATTCACACCGAGACATTAAAGAAGGGAAAAATAACTAATGATTGTTGTTTTCAAGGAAACCGAGATACTTTAAAGGATTCCTTGCCCGAGCCTCACAGCCATTTTGAGAACGCTAATAAAATGGCGACTTAATTGTTTGGCAGTTCTGTTTTTACCATATTTGCACAGCAGCATGAAAGTTGTAGTCTTTCTATTTGCAGGTAATGTTGAGAAGTTATACAATAAGAGCGGACAGTACATACATTTCCCAGAAAGTGTTCCCGGAAACTGTCCCAGGGTATCCTGGGAATTGCAGTCTACTTCGTATTCCCGGTGAGTCCGGGTACCAGAATTTTTGTGAGAAAAAATCCTAAAACTTGTAATGTGATCTGAAATCTTTTAAATGCTCTTGGGGAGACCTATCCATTCGTGCTTAACGGCGTAAACAGTAGATATGAGGTTATAGCACGCAGAAATACACGGAGTCTCCCACTCCAGCGCATGAATTTCAACTATAATATTAAAATTATTGTATAATAAAACAGTATGGCGGTAATTATGTTTTATTTTTTCAGTATTAATGAAGGCATCTGGTACAACTATGCTTCATCACACCGATTTCTTTAAAAATGAATTCAGTTTCATGTTGCGATTCAAACAGCTAAAAGAACGCTGGATCTATGTACTTATGCTTTCTCTGATGTTATGCGATTAACTGAACCTGGGCCAAAATGGGCCTGCAGTACAACCCGCAGCACCACAATTAACAAACTAGGAACATATGTCCGTATACTGTTTGTGGAGTTTAGTTCTGCTGGTACCATAGTCCCAGATTTTTAACTAAACTTACAAGTTGTCTGGCTAAGCACGAAGTTCAGCTTCGTGATACAGGCCCCTGTTTTGCTAAATGGCTTTCCAACTTGTACTGGAAGGCAGGTTAACTCAGCTGTGATGTCATTCCTAGTTCAGACTTCTGACCTCCCAGGTAAATTTACTTTAGGAGTACTATTTTAGGTACTAGGACTTTTGGTACTGTTACTCAATCGGAAGTCAATGGAAAAGGGAAAGTACCGAAAGTATTAACAGATATTAACATTGATATATTATCATTACCTTTATAGGCACTGGTGACTGGTGACACAGATGTCAAAAGGGGACAAAAGGGCAAAAAGGACATGCAGCAGGTGGACAGGGGCTGGAAAAGCAGACTGTCCCCTCAAATCCCCATTTACTGTATGGTCACCCTATGTGTATAACCCCATGCAGGTTTTCATCAAGATACTGCCCACTTGCTGCAAAGTGATCGTGTTTCCATGCCTGTATTTGGGCTACATGTCGTCTGAATCAGACTAAATTTCGACCAAGTCAGATGGACTAAACCCAGCCCGATTTTCGGTGACTATTTTTGGTCTAAAGGCTCATCAGATTTGGCCCCAAAAACATGTCTCATGGACGGCTGGTGCTGGGTGGGAAAGGCAATTAAGCTTAAAGGAGTTCTGCTGTCTGCAGAAGAGACCACAGCTGCTAACTTCCTTCAGTTACTGATATTCAGAAGTCCAGGGCACAGAACAGTCCTCCCTCCTCTCCCAGCCAGTCACGTTTTTCAGTCCCTTCCGTCTGGTAGACATTACCAGGACAGTTTGTTTTCCGAGGCTGTAGCTATCAAGACCAGTTCGCCTTGTTCAACTTCCAGACTCACGCAGTGCTGAAGTGTATGCACCTTACATGCCTCTTACCTAACCTCATATTAGTCACTGCAGTTACCTAAATAAACACACACCCAGCAAATGTCTCAGTCACTGTGCAGAATAGAGTGAATTGAAGTTCACATTCAATTGATTGACATGCTCAGTAGGTGATTTGAGGGTGGATGCTGTACCCAGTGTTAGCAAAATTTGAAAAATGTGTCTCCCTTGTTAACGTGGCACCAGCCCCCAGCAGTCAGTGCTCTCTGTGTTGTAGGCGTCCTTGTAGATAGTGCTGGATGGAATCACCAATCTGTTCTTTATTTTTCACCTGTGCTCCCCTGCACCGATTTGAAAACCACCATGAGATTTGCATTGACGAGGCCCAATGCAGGACAGAAAGAGAGGCAGCTTTGCTTATATTCTGAATGTGTGAAGAGAAAATGGCATCAAAAAGAAGAGGAGGACAATTTGACCTTCTTTTATATTTTGAATTTCATATCATTATAGGTTTTTTTTTCCTCGCATAATTAGATATTTCACAGTTATGGTTAAGATGTCCTGCCACAATGTCCTTTGGAAGGTGTACAATTCAGTCATGTTTGTGTGGATGTTGATTAGTTGATTGTTTGAGTGTTTGATTGGTTGTGTGCGGTCATGAGTGATACACCAGTGAAGATTTGTTTACTTATGAATTACACAATAATCATGTCACATTTATAATTTGTTTTTGCTCACTTTCTTTTTCACAATATCTGCACAGTGGCATGCCTCTTTGCACATATGTTGCAGTTTCAGGGGAAGGTGCAATTTGCACTTCCCTATATTTTTGTCTGTGCTGTGCTGTGATATTTTCCTGAACCTTTAAAATGTATTCAGCATTGTGGAAACTTATGGACTCTAAGTACAAAGGAAAACAGACTGCCACTTCCTTAAAATACGACAATAAGTCATAGAGTCCTCTGATACACGTGCACTGCAGCACTGGGGACAGAAATCTTTAAAAGTGAGTCAGAGGAATAATATGACTTTGTGACTTTATTAAGAAGGCCTCAATCAACCATCCAGCACTGTAAATAACTTGGCCAAAAGAAATGATATTTTGTCCATCTTCCACAACCTGTTACCCAGTACAGTGTCATGGTCAGTTATGTTATATTTTATAGTTAATTTTAAGTCAATTTTAAACAAGAGGTTTAATTCTATATTACAAAAAATATTATATTTCATTACTACCTGCAAGCGGAGCACATACCTTTATTCTGTCTTTGAAGGCTTATCTTGTAATTTGTGTTTATTATTAACGTCACAACAGACTTTGGACTTAAGAGTTTTTTAATTCTAGTCTTTATGTTTGATAATCAGATTGTGTTTATTTTGCCAAACGCACGTTTTGGCCTAATGCCTTCTTCGGTGATGACGAAGTGGGTTTCCAAACCTCAAATAGACACACACTCGTGACCACATCCTCCATGTAGGACAGCCAATAGTAATGCAGCAAGTGTCATACAGGGCATCACCTGTGCACACTCCCAATTATAACAAATCGTACTTACACTAGATGAATGCAAGGACATCATGTGGTGACACGGATACCTTTGTAACAATTCATCCTCGCACACGATATACATATCATTAAAACAGGAAAATTAAAATCACAAGAAGCATGTAAAAGAGAAGTCTTCAATCATCCAATTTGACGTAACTGGATTTAACGTAAAATACACGAAGCCTCCCTTCTCAGAATGCGATCCTGTTGGTCCCCACCTGTGAGGGGCTGGTTGACAATCTCCAAACCCATAAATCTCAAGAAATCAATGCCAGCATTTTTCATTAAGCATGTTATTGCAGATGATATAATTAAGGCATCTGAAACTACCCTCTGGTATCCTAAAGGAGAAGTGACGTGTAGGGCTGGGGATCGCCAATAAGAGTGAACAAGACAACCTTTCAGGTTTTGAGCGGCTTGTGTTTTTGACTCAATTTAGGTTGAGTATCTCCTCAATAATCAGTATCATAACTGCTTCAGTAATTCTGTATGAAATTATATTTACCGTATGGAATTAACTATACATTTTTTTTTAGATTTGCAAAAAGCTGACTTTGTGTGATTAATGTTACCACTTTGTTAAAAATGATGGAGGTAGCGTTTTCAGTGTCTTGAATTTGCCTGCATTTTGCTTGCATAAGATATGTTCCACAGGACCGGTCAGACTGTATAGTAAACCAATAATTTAACAGAACGATTTTATATTTCTTCTGGTGTTTCTGCTTTGTTCATTTAAAATTTAAGTCCTAGATTCACGCTGAAAAGTCCGTTTTACAAGCGCTAAAAATTTCTGCGTTGGCCGGGAATCGAACCCGGGTCAACTGCTTGGAAGGCAGCTATGCTAACCACTATACCACCAACGCATATGAACGACCACCCAAGGCAATTAGTGAATGCTATAGATAGCTATAGTTCTAGTAGCGTTTGCGGTTTCATTGTTCAGTGTTGACGCAGGTATAAAGAATTTATACTGATACCGCATAAGAATA